ATTTTAATAATTTTAGTAGTACTTGCCAAGATAAGTCTGATTTTGGCAAATGACATCCTTTCTACAAAAATAAAGGGTGGATCGACGGAAACAATAATTAAAAAAAAATAGCTTTTTGTCCTTCGAACACTTGGAAAATTAGCCTCGGGGTATTTTCAAATAAATGTAGATTTGTAGAAGATATTTTTGGTTCCATTTTTTCGAAAAACTCAACGATTTTAGCAGAACTGATCAAATGAAAAAATGGCAATTTTCGAGGTAAAAAAATTCATGATCCAACCAAATTTTTCGAAAATTTTAGTCCCGGGGCATTAGTAGTTTATGTTTTTCAAATAAGCTGTCGAGATTAATATCCCAAAATCTGTTTTGAGTATTTTCAAGCAATTTTTCAAAAATCGCAAATTTTTAATTTCCTCCACCGTATAAATTTTTTCAGCGTTTTCCGAGCATGAATTGAAAATTACTCAGACATTTGCTTGTAGATTACAACTTTCGGCTTCATATCATCAAAAATTCCAATAATTTTTCCAGAAATGATAAAATGAAAAATGATAATGTTCAAGATGTACGAGTATATTTGAAAAATTTTCTTTCAAACTGAATTTTTCCAAAATTTTGGTCCGGGACCATCAACACGTTATGTTTTCGAATGATTTCAAATTTTGATCATTTATTTCTATGGCCGTAATCACCACGTATATCAAAAATTATTAAAATATGCGTACTATTACTGGGTGTTCTGATTTCCATGTCACTGTATATAAAGATGGATTTATTTACCTTCTACAAATTTTTTGATACCACAATTTGTCGTTTTTCGTTTTTCTTCTATTTTACAATTTTTTGATATCAAGTTTTTGTGGTTTCATTTTCTTTATTTTTTTAAATTTTCAATTTTTCAATTTCTCGACTTCCAATTTTTCAATTTTTCGATTTCCAATTTTACAATTTTGCGATTTTTCGATTTTCAATTTTACAGTTTTGTGATTTTTCGATTTTGAATTTTCTATTTCCTTAAATTTTTCAAGTTTTTGATTTTTATTTTTCATTTTCCGGATTTTTCAATTTTCATTTTCTTGATTTTATATCACAATTTTTCGTTTTTGTATTTTCTTTATTTTTTCAATGTTACTTTTGATTGTATAATTCATTTTTCGTGTATTCAAGTTGATTTTTCAATTCTTCAATTTTTCGATTTTTAAATTTTTCGATTGGCAATTTTTGGAATTATCTAATTTTTCTTTTACAATATTTCATTTTTTCGATTTTGAAGTTTCTCAATTCTTCAATTTTTCAAGTTCTTAATTTCTAATCTTAAGATCTATCAAAGTTTTCATTTTATACCTTTTCGTAATTTTATTTTTGATTTTTCAGTTTTGCAATTTTGCAATTTTTGCATTTTCTTGATTCGAAAGGTTGAAAAATCGAAAAACTGAAAAAACGAGAAATTGCAAAATCAATTACCTACAAAATAGAAGAATAATTGCAAAATCGATAAAATGCAAATCGAATAATTCAGGAAACTTAAAATTGAAACGTTAAAAAACTAAAAATCGAACAATTGGAAAATCCAAAAATTGTGGAATCGTCAAGATTATAAAGTTGAAAAACTGTAACATTGAAGGTCGAAAATTCGAAAAATAGAAAAAGTTTTAAAATCCAATAACTGCTAAAGTGAAATTTAAAAAAAATTATAATTGTTATTAGTATTACATATTTAAAATGAAAACTAGAAAAATTACAAATCAAAAATCGAGGAAACGAACATTTGGGAAATCGAGAAACTGAAAAATCTAAAGAATTGAAAAAACAAAAAATTAAAGAATACGAAACATGACAAATTTTACCTTGAAGAAAAGGAAAATGATAAAATGAGACCATGGCAAAGTCGACAAAATTGTAAAAATAACCAAAATAAAAAACCGAAACGAAAAATTGCAAATCGAAAATTTGAAGAAATGAAAAAATATAGAATTGGAAAACCGAAATCAAAAATTGAAAACACATCCAAAATATAAAACTTGCACAATGTATGTGACAAAAATGATAATGGAACCCAATGAGTCACGGTCCACGAAATTTCTCTTATACCTCACTAACGTAAAAATTGAAAAATTCAAAAATTGGAAAATTGAAAAACTGAAAAATTCAAGCCAAAAAAGCTACGGGAGTGTTATTTACGCCACTGGTTTTAACTTTATAGAGGTTATCAGAGAACAAAAATCCCAAACAAAAATTCTGTTTTCAAGGAAGTGGGATTTGTTGGGCTGTATTTCAAGGAAGAAACAACCTTCGACCAATTTTTTTAAAATTTATTTCCTAATGTTTTGAAATAACATCGTTTTGGCGAGCATAACGCAACACTAATTACAACGTTACCTTTTTACCAAAATTTTGACCTGAACTAATTGACCATAAGCTTATAGCTTCATAAATTCATGTTTTTTTTTAATTCTGGGGAAATAGATGTGAAAATAACGGCTCAGATAATATTGCATCTTATTGCATATTTAATAATTTTTGGGATGACGTCATCAGCTTTCAGGAGGAGCGGTAATTTATTATTATTATGATTAAATATAAGCGTTCGATGAGATGCTAGATCCTTTTACTCACGCAGCGTATTATTTTGAGAACTAAAATAGAAGTGCCAATATAAAGTTATACAATAGGGTAAAGGTTATACATAGTTAATTTTAAAAGATGAAACCCAATCACTTGGAACTAGAGAATCCAGTAGTGAATTCCATGTATCAAAAACTATTGTGTGTAAAAGTGTCGTTCGTTAGAAATTGCGATTTAAAAGAAATTTACTTAAAAAAATGAGATGACGTCATCAATGCGTATACGTAGATAAGTACATATAATTTAACGTTGTAAAATCGTCACTATTATCCTGCAATACAGACGTAAGAGAATTACTGAAATAATCGGTTTATTTATTTCTGAGTAATCTCTTCGATGGAACGTCGAATAGATCGAGACACACCAAAATGGAAAAGTTGCAGTTTCAATTGCTACAAGTTATGAACCTCTGAGAAAATATGAAATTAGACATTGCTCAAAACTACAGTATTTCTTTAGGTGTCTCACGGGAAATCATATTTGATTTACTAAACAAGATATGTATAATTTCGCTTGTAAACTAGAAATGTCTGAATGACAACTGTGTAGATTACAACAAAGAAAACAACCATTTGATGCAGTCGGTCTACATTAAGGTGCTCCGGATATAATACGATATATATGTTTCCTAGATAATTTCCTCGTTAATCAGTCCGACGCGTGGATCAGGTGCATTAGCGATTTGCTGCCTTACCCACAAGAATCCGCTCTCTGATTATAAATGTTAGGAATACAGGTCTTAAAATTCGTCCTTGCACGATGCAGATAGTTTTTCAAGTTACGTTAATCCGCTTTCAGATCTTTCGTTTAGGAAAAAATAGAAAAGTTTAAAATACATGTAAAAGATAAAAGGTTAGAAAAATGAGTTAAAAAATAATCTAATAATAAGTCAATAATGGCGTTCATTCGATTATGCTTTTTTAATTAAAAGTTTGTAAAGTTCTTTATACAAAACCTTCCTCACTTTTTTATTTTGAATGAATACATTAATTTTCATCTGTACATTGTAACCATATACGTTACTCTGTTCCTCGAATTTTAGGATAATCAACGAAATTGTTTCGGAGATATAAAATATGTAGGGTCGCACATATTTTTTAAGACATCCTGTGCAAACAGTCCTAAAAAATAAGAGACGGAGTTTTTTTTTAATAAAGGTTTGTTTAATAATTTTTTGCGATAACATCAACTTCCTGAAGGGGATGAATAAATAAATTTTAATTAAAGAGGACCTCTCCCTGTCAACACCGGCGTACGCTTAACGTCGCTGAAAGGTGTTTCCACGTCGAAGGCGCTTTTAAAATTAGATGTTCAAATTATTATTAATCCAAAATTATCATTTTACTAGTTACCACAAGTAGAAGAATACATCCTAGTGCACATTTTAAGTGATATTTATTTAACAGAATTTTAAGATGAGATCATAATTTTTTGTTGAGGCAAATATGTTAACTTATTTTCGCTTAATGTCACAGTAGGTCTTTTTCCTTTGGGAAATTTTTTCGATGAAATAAATTATTTATTCATTAGATGTTTTGCGACAAGCCGTATAAGCATTTATCAAGAATAAAGCTGTTTTTCCGACTCAAAATAAAGCCTCATTTCGCATGTTTCGTTAAATATTTATGAAATATTTGTTTAAAATGACGTCAAGTTTTTGAAGAAAACCAATCAATATTATTATCTGTACAAGTTACAATCATTAAATCAACGAACGGGAAAAATGTGTGTATTCTCAGTACCTGCTTAACTTCAGTTGTTTATGTTTACACGTCGAAAGAATACGACGATTAAGCACGTAGCAAACTGCCTGATTTGACTAAAATTAGTAGTTAAACTACAATGGAGCAAATATAGGCCTCAAAAAATCGAACCCATGTAAAAATATTCCGTATTCGCTACAGGTGTGCAGCTTGCGTGACGGGTGGTGGAGGAAGAACCAACCTTGAGTAGGCATTAACTTTTAATTAATAATTGACGAAAACAAAGTTTTTTCTTTTACCTTCCAGTTTATTTTGACTGAGACTATTTTGTTCAGAGACACAATATTGTTTGTTAACCAGGTGTTGAATTTCTGATGTACTGCGCTACAGTCGTCTGAAGCATCCTTCCCGTAGCCGGCCTTCTACAGGGTGTTCCCAACACCCTTAGATAAAAACTCGAAGCAACAAGTCCCGACGAATTAAGTAATTCAATTTGTCGAATGGAAGTAGGTACAGAACGGCTAAATGAAAGAGTAAATAAATGTAACAAGTAAACCAAATATAATTTAGCAACCCCTTTGCGCTTGTTTTCCCCCACCAACGTCTCCGCCACCATGTCGGAAAATCTCGATAGGGGCTTTTCAGTACAGTGGCGAAAATCGCGCGGAAAGCGTGTTCCTACAGCCGAGTTTTCCCGGGCGCTTTTCACGCGACGCGAGTGCAGTGCCAAACTTTTTTTCCATTTACAATTTTCCCAGGATGTTTCGCCCCGGACTTGGCCTTTCGCCGGCGCCGAGATAAATCGGTAGGACATTTTTCGTACTTTTGCGAACTTTTCCCAACCCTTCTGTGAGCGCATCCAGCTGTGTTTGTCTTTTTCTCGCGACACGTAGGGCTCTGAATCCATAATTCATTAAGGGCTCGTGACACTCTCTTAGCCCTTGCCGAGTCCGTAATTCCTTTGATGTCACTTCATATTGCCCCATAAGCAATTTCTTGTGATACGTGAAAGGCGAGTGGGAGGGGTTGAGGTATGCGAGGGAGAAAAATATGTCAGCGGTGACGGAATGTGGATGTGGTCGCAGGAATTTCGGCTATTTTCGAGCAAAAAGGATAATTAAAAAGTACGAAGGAGTTGGCAGGAATTTGGACTTTATTTTGACAATCGGACGTGTGTTTGGTAAAGGGGTGTCTTTTGTGGCGAGGGGGAGGAAATGCGCTTGTGAAGGGCAATTGTTGATTGGGGTGTAACAGTGTACGGATGCTGCGCCATAATCATGAACAAGTGAAGTGGAAATGACGAGCTTTTGCTTGGAAATAATGAGGCTGCAAATTATGCATGACTAGTATTTGATTACTGGTGATCATGTAATGGCGAGGAATTCCTTCGCGGAATCTACGTAATTATTCGGTGAAATCCTAGAGCAGCTTATCGTTTTAATTATACACGGATTGTTTTATAATAAAACATTTCTTTCAATCGACATCGGTTTGAAAATAGTCTAAATCGTCGCCTGCTGCATTTGATTCTCGTCTAAATTATTGAATGCACTGGTGGTAAGACGATGTAAGAATAGCTGAAAGTGTTACGTGAGCTTATCTCTCTAAGAAAACGAAGCTTTTAAAATCTCAGGCGAGCGTTGTATGGGAATGAAAATAAACAATAAACGATTGCAGGCTGTGAGCAAAAATTTTAAATATTTATTTACAATAAGTGGAAATTTTGTTGCTTAAATAAACAGGTGTAAATGCGGCAACTGTTTGTTTATGAGTAATAAATCCACCTAAATTTTTGTTTTTGTGTTACGTGAGTGTGTTTCAATTTCGACAATTTGAACTTTCACTTTTCATGGTTGATTTGTTTGGGATAATTATTTTCTGTCGAAAGTGGTAATCTGCGTTATCCATTACAGTAACTCTATTTTGCCATATTTCTTATTTTTTCACATTTTTAAATGTTTCGTACGAATTAAAAAACGTTTTTTTATTATAGTCGTTTTTTGAGTCCGTTGTTATTACGTTGGATTATTACGATACGTTAAGTTAACATTTTGAAAATGAAATCATCCTCCCGATTTTTTTCGTGCATAATATTCATTGTACGAAAATTTTCATTTAAAACTTCCCACAAAATTATCTTTATTCTTCAAGACTTCTCCGCCTTAAAGTACAGTTCAACAAGTGCCATTTCTTTGAAAAATAAAAAAAAATGCGATAATATAATTTTTTTTGTGTTTGTCTACGTCCAGCCTTTTTTAATGAATAATGACACTACATATTTTTTATAATTCTTGTAGAGTTTGTTTTCCTGAATTCATTAAGGTATCATTCTTTAATCACCCATACTCCGCCACTGTCTAGGATTCGAACGCGTTATGTTACGAAAACACACTTGTTTATACTTGGTCGGGAGAGTACTTGTCCTTAAGAAACGTACAAGGGCGACTCATGAGTTGAGAAGTTGACGACACAAGACACAAGATGCTCTAATATCTAAATATCGAAACAATTATATTGTCGAGTTCAGCTGAACATTTTTTCGGAAAAATGAAATTTTGCAAATATTAAGCAAGCCAAAAATGTGTAATTTTTCTATGACAGAAAATTGTATTTGTATTTGTTTAATTATATTATCACGAATTTCGGAAAAATTGTCTTAATTCATCAAGTTTTCCATAAATTTTGTTAAAAAATGGTCACTGCGTAATTTACCTGAGGTTCGAAAAAAAAAATTATTAGCCACAAATGAATGTCTTCCCATTTGAAAATATTGCGCTCAACATTGTTTCAGCAAGGGCACGTAGGTATGTCAATTCCGACATGTGCAGTGTAATAGTAATAATGTAACACACAATTTAACTTTTTTTGCAAAAATTTGAATGTCTAGGAGGAAAACTCCAAGCGGATTTGTACACCACATGTATAACATTCAAACCATTTTAATATTGAATCTTTTGAGACGACGTCCTCAAATTTTTCATGGGGATGACTAGCTAAATTTTGGTTAGCATTTACCATCTACATGATACTCCTAATATAGATCAGAATCTGACAAAAATCGGTATAGATTATTGTCTATCCAATAAAAATTTACATGAACAGCCGTAAAATTAAGTGAAATATAAGGTGCTACTTACCTGTGATTTAGCAATCGATAGCAACCTTTAATTTAACTCGGGGTTGTTCTAAAATTAAATTATTATGTTTGGATCATCAAATTTTACAGCTGATCTCAGAAACTCGGAAACTACTATTGATTCAGAGATTACATAACGTCAGTTAAAATTTAACGATCTCGGATAATTAACAGTTGCTGATTTAAAAATTATATCTCCAGACATGCTAATTTTGACGGTTACCTAATTTTATGTAGTTGAGGTTTGGTGTCTAGTAGAAAATGCACGTTCCCCATTTCCCTTTTCTGTCGCCTCTCCCCCGTGGGAAATTTATTAAACAGATAATCCTCTAAGCTACTCAGCCGATTAATTTTGGGTGTACATTAAGATTATCGTGCAGATAATAAAACATTAACCAGAATTTCTCTATTCACTCTTACCTAGATATTGATGATGTAGGTAAAATATCTATTTTCTGAAGCTAATGTCGATAACATTTGTCCAGATTTTCAGTTTCGGTTCAAAAATATGTTCTCTAATTCCTAGAACGTTTCCTGCACGCCCCCGGATATCGTCCAAAAAACGAAAACGGACCACCAAACTAACAAGATAAATCTAGAATACGAGACGACTTAATTTATAACAAATTTATGTGCCCGAGACCAGAAAATAAAGCCAAATCGTTCTCCGAAAATGTGCTCTTGGACTGTTATGGGGATATGCGGAAAATTTAAACCCTTCCCTGATTGCGAAATGGATTCAAAACTAATAATGTAATAGTTTAGAAGAGGAATAAATCAGCAACACATTCTACTGAACAAGAAATATTTATTTATGAGGACGGATTTTGACCATAAATAAATAAATACACTGTCATTTTCTTCTTGTTTTAAGTGGCTCCCAGAGATGGAATTATGCAGCTTGTCGTAAACAGGAAATGAGAAACATGAAATTATCCAACGTTGAACACACAGGAAAATATTTAAAAATTAAAATTCCTGTTACAGCAAAACAAAAAGAGGTTCTTTTAACATTAATTCATGTGGGCCAGGAAAATACGGGAAGAATTTTCCATTTTAACCGTATTGTGCGTATTTAGAAAATGTATGACAGTTACACGAGATTTGTAGATGATATCATGATCCCTAGAACCTGCTCTAATTAGTTTTTGCACAAAGGAATAATTTACGTTTTCTTAGTTTATATTTTAAAATTGCTACAGACGATAACATTGACTACATCGATCAATTGCATTCCTAAAGTCTGTCTCTTTCAGTTCTTGTTATCATTGTTATATTAAAAATAATATAATTCCAATGTAAATGCAATCGGATAAAAAGAAAGGTAACTTTTTATCAGCGGATTAAAATTTCTTTATTTATAAATCTACTGAGTCGTTTTGGTAATGTTTCCCATGAAAATGCAGGGTGATAGCTAACAATAAGATTTATTGTTAGGGTTCCTAAGTGGTAGGAATGTCTAGAAAAAAATATTGGAAATTAAATATAGATTGTTATGCACGTCACTGGTAATGGTCTTGACCTACCATAACTACTATTCAATGAATGGCACAGAACGACTAGGATTAAGAATCATAAAAGCGAAGCACTGATAAGCATGTTGGTGGGAGTCGTGTGTTCGGTTAGCGTCGTTGACAATGGTGAAGTTTTCCACTTCAGAGCATGTAGCCATGGTAATGCTTTATGGTGTGGCTGATGGAAACGCCAGGTTTTCCTAACCACTGAGTCGGTAGAAGCGGTCTAGTAGCTTGCTTGATTTTTGTGTGTGGAGCTGGATGAAATAACTATTTATTACCCTGTAGATTACGTTGAAAATAAAAATTTATTCGGCTAAATGAATAGCTCGAGTGTAATTCACTGAGATAATTGTATGCAATTACAGTCCATAATTTAAAATTTCGTGGAGCTATAATTTTCACAGATTTACTGCGATTTTTGTCTTTGTAAATTTTATTTAAAAAATTAGTTTAAAGTAATCTATGCAGGAATCTGATTATGTTTAAGATATAAATTCAGGCACAAAATATTCGAAAATGCGATCGAAGTTGTTATCCTATCCAGTTACTCTTGTCAAAAGCTGCGGCCAACACCCACATCTCCAACATAAAAAATTTCATCTAGAAACCTAGCAGCCCTTTCAATCACCACAAAACCCGCGAAAATCCCCCAAAATTAAAAAGAAAATCGTCATGCCCTCGTCCTAAGCACACTCTCTCATACCAATCCGCGTCGTCTCTATCGCACCAACATTCAGTCCGGTCACGTCCCGTTCCGGTAAACTTTCCCCAGCTTTAAACAACAAAAGTTACTACATACATCATCTCTCTGAATTTTATAGTGTACAAGTGGCGCGACGTGACGCGGTACGCCGTTAACAAACATGAACAATAGAGGGATGAACAACATGGCGACTCATTTCACACGGAAAAAATCCTAACCTGAAAAGTTCGTTCAATTGCGTGATTACCATGAAAAAAGCGGCCTGTCAAAATCAGAGGGAAAATTGATATCGCCCCCAACCACTTTCTCCATGCCAGGCTCTCGCTTTACGCAAACTTTTCAATCAATTACCCGAGAAAGTTAATGCCGTGTCAACATTAAAAAGTTGGCGGTAGGAAATTAGAAAAAGTTTTTAATTATGAGGTGTGATTGTAGGACGGTGTTGGAAT